CCCAAAGATGAGGAGGTACTTGTGCCTCCTCCCATGGGAGACTTAGGTCTCAGACACTCCCTAAAGAGGGAGCCAAGGCCGGGCCACCACTTGGTAAAGGCCCGGGCCGGGAGAATACCGGCTAATCTTTAATAATAATAATAATAATCAGTGCGTCATCAGTAACTGTGCAATGTTGCAAGGCTGCAACTGAAGGAATGAGGGGAAGTTTTCTCAGAGTAGCACAGTGTGGGTTTGTCACCTTCCACAGTCTCTCCCGCACTGCGCTACTCTGAGAAAGCTTCCCCTCATTCCTTCAGTTGCAGCCTTGCAACTTTGCATAGCTCCTGATGACGCACTGAGAAGTGTCAAAGTACTTGAACTAAAGAATTCCACCCCCTGTGGCTTGTCTTGCATAGTTAAGATCTCCTGTCTGTGACTGTATACACTAATGAGTATGTGACACAGCTGACACCAGGAGGCCTGGTCACAGATCGGGCCGCGGGGGCGTTGACCCCCCCAACTCTCTCCAGGTAATCTGAATATAATTTAAGAGTTAACTTACTTACAGTAAAAGATGTATAATGTAAACATATAAATGGAAAAAACTGGAATAAATCACTTGCTAAGAAACAAGGAACTCAAGTCTGGAAAACAAGGCAGATAAACACAAATATTAGCAATACAGTTTTCCACAAAAGGAACATTAAAGAAAGCAACACAAGGGTAAAATATCAGAGATCAACACAAGGAAATGCAACACAAGGAAATGCAACACAAGGAAATGCAACACAAGGAAATGCAACACAAGGAAATGCAACACAAGGAAATGCAACACAAGGAAATGCAAACAAGGAAATGAAAACAAAAGGGGAAAGCAATATGAAATTTTAATTTGAAAAAAAGGTTTTAAAACAAAATTAGAGGTGCTATTCTAAATGGTATCAATGCCCCTAAAGCTAGTGAAATTTATCCACAAGTGAGTAGTTAGTGTATCTGGGCATAGTAACAGTCACAACTAGATCAATCAAGAAAAAAAATCATTTTCTTTGGGAAATGGAACAAAAACCGTGTGGTGAGGGGACTAACTGCCCTCAGAAAAGGTGCTAGTAACCCCGACTCACGAAAATGTGTGAAGATTGGAACAAACCTTTCCATGGGTGGGTCTTGAACCCCGGGCAGAGAGTGTAAATTTTGTAATTTAGTAATTTGTCCATTTAGTAATGCCAATGGGATTACTAAAAAGCCGGAAGCAAGGTGTAGAGCCCCCAGCTGTAACATTACAAATACCGGGAGCAAGGGGGGTAGTAGCCCCCTTTGCTGTAAAATTATAAATGCCCGGGGGGGGAAAAGGGGATTTTGCCCCCTTTTGTTGTAACATTACTAAAATTTTGGGAACAAGGGGCAGTAGCCCTTTGGGAAATTTTCTAAATGCCGGGAGCAAGAGGCTAGTACCCCCATGTTAACATTACTAAAACCGGGAGCAAGGGATGTAGCCCTTTTGGTGTAACATTACTAAATGCCGGACAAGGGGGAGTAGCCTCTTATGCTGTAACATTACCCAAAAGCCGGGGGCAAGGGGTTAGCCTCTTAGCTGTAACATTACAAAATTTCCGGGAGCAAGGGGGGTGTAGCCCTTCTCTGTAACATTACTAAAGCCGGGACAAGGGGCTGTTTCCCCTTCTTGTAACTTACTAAATGCCGGGAGCAAAGGGGGTGTAGCCCCTTTGCGTAAATTATAAATGCCGGGACAAGGTGCTAGTAGCCCCCTTAGCTGTAACATTACAAATTCCGGGAGCAAGGGGGTGACCCCCTTTTGCTGTAAAATACTAAATGCCGGGGAGCAAGGTGCGTTTTGCCCCTTTGTTGTAACATTACTAAAGCCCGGGGCAAGGTGCTATACCCTTTTGGTGAACATTACTAAAAGCCGGAGAAGGGGGTAAGGCCCTTTTGGTGTAACATTACTAAATGGGGAGCAAGGTGCTAGTGCCCTTTTGTGTAAAATTTTAAAAAGCCGGGGGCAAGGGGCTAGTACCCCCTTTTGCTGTAACATTTCAAACCGGGAGCAAGGTGCTAGTGCCCTTTTGCTGTACTTACTAAAAGCCGGGGGCAAGGGGTAGACCCCTTTTTCTGTAACATTTCTAAATGCCGGGAGCAAGGGGCTATAGCCCCCTTTCCCCCTGAAATTACTAAATGCCGGGAGCAAGGGGTAGTAGCCCCCTTTGCTGTAACATTAAAATGCCGGGGGGCAAAGGGGGTAGTGCCTCTTTGTGTAACATTTCTAAAGCGGGAGCAAGGGCTAGTAGCCCTTTTGGTTAACATTACAAAAACCGGGAGAAGGGGGGGGAGTAGCCCCCTTTTGTTGCAACATTACTAAATGCCGGACAAGGTGCTAGTAGCCCCTTTCGGCAAAATTTCTAAAAGCCGGGAGCAAGGGGTAGTACCCCTTCCGCGAACTTACTAAATGGGGAGCAAGGGGCTATAGGGTGGCACCAGGGCCATCGATTTATTCCTCAGCCACAACAATGACGACAATTATCAGTACAATATTTATATGAAATAGATGATAATTATCTCTGGAAGTTCCCGGTGTGCTCGGCTTTGGAATCGAACACTCAACATCTCTTGTTGATCCACCTGATCTGCTTCTACAAGTAGCCCCCACCCACGTGTGTTCACATCTATAACTTCTGCATCACTCCACTTCTTTCACTCGTTCCACTATATAAGGCTTCGTTCTCAAACTTGATGAAGTCCCAGGTGGGCGAAACGTCTCTCAATAAAGATACACAGTGTTGTGCCTGTGCGTTATGCATTAACTTGTTGGTATGATAGCCCTCTGATCTAAGGGTATCTCTGAGTTAGAGTCAATGTAAGATTCTCCATCAAACGAGGCCTGGTCTCAGACCGGGCCGCAGGGGCGTTGATCCCCAAAACTCTCTCCAGGTAAACTCCAGGTAAACTAGTTAATTTAAAAAGAGTGCTCATTTTGTGGACAGTAGCAGATTGGCCACTTTCTGTTTGTCCTTTTCCACGTTGCTGTGAAGACCTATAACAGTGTTACTTTTGGTATCCTGTCCCCTACAGTGGAGTGGTCTTTAATATGGTAATATCCTCCTAGTGTTTTTTGTTTAAGGCTCTAGTACAAGGGAGCAGCAATAGCCTAGTTGACCCACAGTCTGGGGCCACGATACGGGAGTAGGAAGACTCTCGAAACCGGTCACAGGAACATTTATCACTAACGGCTGTCTTCGTTAATAACCCAGTTCTCAGGAGCCTTCAGTTTAACGAAAGGCTTTTGGATCAAATCTGCTTACTTCTCGTTTTCCAGGCGCTGTATGATACCAGTTACAGCAACTCATGATCCAGTTTGTGATTTCTGGAAGCTAGGTTCAGGTATCCTTATTGGTGATCACAGTTCACGTCTTCACTGTTGTTAGTTCATTCGTTAGGGTAAAGGTCATGACAAGGGTGTTATCAACAAGTGACTCTTTCAGGTGTTGGCTTTAAGACGTGGACGCAACAAAAGAATGTCTCAAGGCACAGTCCTTTAAGTAATAGTCATATATCGTGTTAGTTGCGACAGCCTCTGTCGTACTGATTGGTGACAGACCGAGTGATCTGAGCGCCCTTACTCTTAGAGAATTGTATTAGCCTGTTGTGTATCCTAGTCAGAGAGACCTTTCGGAGGTTTGGAATAAGGCATTCGCTGTCTTCTTGGTCCTCAATGAAGATTCTGTTCAGACACCGGGATACTGAAGTTGATTAAGGAGGCTAGCATCCTTCGGTGCATAATTTATTTTGTATTTTAGTGGAATACAATACCGATAAGATGATAAATTAACACCTTTGGCTCTTTCACTACATTACATGAGCATCAGATGAAGAAATTGTAAATGTATATACACAACTGTTGTCCAGAGGGCTGAGGAAGGGTTGTTGAGGTGGTTCGGACATGTAGAGAGAATGGAACGAAACAGAATGACTTCAAGAGTGTATCAGTCTGTAGTGGAGGGAAGGCGGGGTAGGGGTCGGCCTAGGAAAGGTTGGAGGGAGGGGGTAAAGGAGGTTTTGTGTGCGAGGGGCTTGGACTTCCAGCAGGCATGCGTGAGCGTGTTTGATAGGAGTGAATGGAGACAAATGGTTTTTAATACTTGACGTGCTGTTGGAGTGTGAGCAAAGTAACATTTATAAACGGGTTCAGGGAAACCGGCAGGCCGGACTTGAGTCCTGGAGATGGGAAGTACAGTGCCTGCACTCTGAAGGAGGGGTGTTAATGTTGCAGTTTAAAAACTGTAGTGTAAAACACCCTTCTGGCAAGACAGTGATGGAGTGAATGATGGTGAAAGTTTTTCTTTTTCGGGTGGGAATCGGCCAGTGTGATAATAATAAAAAAACAGCCAATAGAGAAAAGGTAGAAGCAGGTGATAAACACGTCAGTCAAGACCTGAGTCTTCATCACCAGCTCCTGGGCTGAGGGACTGATAACCTCTTATACTGTCTGCCACTGGTTGGCGAAACATGTGTCTACTGTATCATAATTTATTTGATTTTGTAGCAAGTGAGAGAAACTGTCAATATTTTTAGGCATTTGTTACAGTGTATAATCAGTGTTTCGACGATCAATTAATTGCCGTCATCAGGATTTGTTTTATAAGGTTGTTTGATTCATCCCAGCCATAAGCAATAGTAACTAGTTGATGATTATGTTTGATGAATAGAGAACCGAAATACCGTGACTTTTGGTCCAAGTCGGACCGAAACGTCGTCATAGGGTTCAGTCTCCTAATTGCGGGTTATTAGTGTAGAAATATACTTAGCTGGATGAATTTTAGTGTAGGCAGGTGGTCCAGTGGTTAACGCACTGGCCTGGAGTTTTACCATTCGCTTGCCATGGGTTCAATCCTCACCCGTTCCGCTATAGGTTCGAACCTCTGACCTCCTACAAGGAAGCCATGGCTATAATGTCTTATAACTTGACATGTTTTGTTTACTAATCTCCCCCCCTCCCTTCCTGGCAGGGAACGTGTGGGTGTACCAGGCATGGGCCCAATCTCCCGACTACGCTCACGACTGGTTTGAAAACGGCTGCAACAAGAGCCTATTTAACGTAGCGTTCATCGGCATTATCGTTCTCGATGCGCTCTTCGCCATCTCTGTCATCGTCGGCTGCGTCGCCTTCGTTCTCCGAGGCTGCAAGTCTAAATAGACGAAGAGAAGGAGGAACAGTTTGGGTGAAGTGAGAGAACACGTTGTACAAGAAGCCTTTTAACACAAATTGAAGAATTAGTCACATGTACGACAATTCGGTATTTTTTATTACGTAGACGTTTTGCTAACTAGTGACTCTGTTAGAACAGTACGGGGACAAAAGACTGAAGATGTAGAAGATGAGGTAATCTGTTCCTTAGCCTAGAGTCAGTATGCTCAGTCCATCAATCTTGATAAAGATCGACTCCAGGCTGCGGGACTGATTACTTTGAAGTCCTCCTCATCTTGCACCGTTCTTTTCAGTATTGGACTGAAGAAGCCACTAGCTAGCGAAACGTTTTCAGAATAAAGAAACCTTGTCTGTTGTTTATATCATTAATATAAATAGAGCCTTTATTGGGACCACGGACGTTCTTAACTGTATATAAGAACATAAGAATGGAGGAACTCTGCAGAAGGCCTACTGGCCCATACAAGGCAGGTACTTATCAGAACGACCTCTACCAAAAGCTACCCAAGAATTTACTCTCGTACCCAATGACACCAATCAAACCCAGCCCCTCCCACTCATATATTTGCCCAATCCCCTTTTAGAGCTACCCAAGATCCTAGTCTCGATCACCCTACTCGGAAGATTGTTCCACGCATCCACAACCCTGTTCGAAAACCAGTACTTACCTATGTCCTTTCTAAATCTAAGTTTATCCAACTTAAATCCATTATTTCTGGTTCTTACCTGGTTCGACACCCTCAGTACTTTACCAATATCACCTTTGTTTATGCCCATCATCCACTTATACACTTCAGTGATATCTCCCCTCATTCTACGTCTCTGAAAGAGCCACTCATGGCTATATTTTACCTAAGAATCTTTATCTAAGTGTCTTCAACCATAACTTTTGACATGTGTGAAGTTTTGACAATGCTCAGTTAGGACCCACATGAAGACAGAGACTCAGACGATTAATTGGTCTGTATATTTCGATTCCCTTCTGGGATCCTCCAGAAGGGGATCAAAATATACAAATCAATTAAGTTCCTGAGTTATTCATTATGTGGATTATTATTCAGCAATAACAAGTGTTCATTATATTTCAGTTATCGATGCCTTGATAAATATATACCTTGATAAGGCATAACACAGGGCAAAACGTTGCCTCAATAAAGGCTCATTCTGCAATGTATTTCTTCTTTACCTATGTGGATAGTATGCCATTTTGACCCAGGTTGGGCATAGTAGGACTATCAGGACCCCAATGAAAATAAGTCACTTTATCTAATATTTTGGGGGTAATTTACTCTGTGTATGATAAATGAACCTATGTTCACCTGTGCTTCAATAAACTGACTTAATAATGGTTGTCTACCAAGGTTCAACCTCCAGCCAGAAGCTCACAGGAAGCTGGAGGAAGAGCTGTTGGAGTGGTATTCAGTTTAGCGGAGATCTTAAATGATTATACTGTGTATTGATGTCATTATTATACACTCAGAGACACGATAGGAAATGTAAATAGGCGTAGCATAGAAGATGGCCGCTTTTGGAACAGTGTATTCAAACAGCTCTAGGGTATAACCTTGTAATTTTTCCCTGGAAGTTATATAATTATTTCTCTAGGGTTATGGGTCCCCTCATGTGCCCTACTGGTGGGCACTGCCTTCCATGTAAATGCCTAAAGTTTCCTTTTAGGCAATGAAACCTTGGTATACGACCTTAATTCATTCCAGGAGGTTGTTCGAGTGCCGTTCCGTTTGAGTATCGAACAAGTTCTGCCCAACCATTTTTCTGATTGGTTGGTTGTTATCACTAATTATTTTAGGCCCCATGATGACTTATTTATACAAATAATACTAAAAAAAAAACGCACCATAAAATGCGAACACGAAATAGTTTACAGGGAAGTTCTGGCAGGTCGTTTTTGTTAGGTCGAGTACTGAGCTCTGCTCGAGTAGTGAGCTGGTCGTATACCGAGGTTCCACTATATATATATACATATATATATATATATATATATATATATATATATATATATATATATATATATATATATATATATATATATATATATATATATAATGTGGACCCCCGCATAACGATTACCTCCGAATGTGACCACTTATGTAAGTGTATTTATGTAAGTGCGTTTGTACGTGTATGTTTGGGGGTCTGAAATGGACTAATCTACTTCACAATATTTCTTATGGGAACAAATTCAGTCAGTACTGGCACTTGAACATACTTCTGGAGTGAAAAAATATCGTTAACCGGGGGTCCACTGTATATATATATATATATATATATATATATATATATATATATATATATATATATATATATATATATATATATATATATATATATATATATATCAGTTTTTCTTTGGAATATCCAACATTACATTAGTTATATATGCATTGGAATGTCATCCAAATTAACTACAAATCCTTGAATATACACATCCAGAAATGCCTTAATCTCTGGGGGTATATATCTAAAATTTATATATTTTCATGTATCATCAGTTTGAGCTGAATTATGTGCAACATTACTTGCAAATGTATTGCAAAAAAATATTGTTAAAACAGATGAGCTGCTGTTTTTGTTGGCCCGGGAATAATTGATTAAAGAAACTGTTGTTGATGTCGTCCGGTAAATCCTGTTTTTGTTAGCATAATTACACAGATTTTCTCTCAGTAAGACTGTATTTGTTTACAGTATCTTGTTGTATTTGTTTGCTAAGATAACAAGAGTTTGTTTGTTATTTAGCCGCTTTGTTTTTCTCAATGTTTTTCTTATTAAAAAATATTTGTTTTTAGATATTCTCTTGTTTTATCTTGTTTTAACAGGTAAGTTTTATTTGCTAATAAAGACATATATAACTTAAGTTTTGTAACTAACTTGATGCTGGTTGAACTTATTAGTAACTTGATGCTGGTTGAACTTATTAGTAACCTGATGCTGGTTGAACTTATTAGTAACCTGATGCTGGTTGAACTTATTAGTAACCTGATGCTGGTTGAACTTATTAGTAACCTGATGCTGGTTGAACTTATTAGTAACCTGATGCTGGTTGAACTTATTAGTAACCTGATGCTGGTTGAACTTATTAGTAACTTGATGCTGGTTGAACTTATTAGTAACCTGATGCTGGTTGAACTATTAGTAACCTGATGCTGGTTGAACTTATTAGTAACTTGATGCTGGTTGAACTATTAGTAACCTGATGCTGGTTGAACTTATAAGTAACCTGATGCTGGTGTACTTATTATGTAACCTGATGCTGGTTGAACTTATTAGTAACCCTGATGCTGGTTGAACTTATTAGTAGCCTGATGCTGGTTGAACTTATTAGTAACCTGATGCTGGTTGAACTTATTAGTAACCTGATGCTGGTTGAACTTATTAGTAACCTGATGCTGGTTTGAACTTATTAGTAACCTGATGCTGGTTGAACTTATTAGTAACCTGATGCTGGTTGAACTTATTAGTAACCTGATGCTGTTGAACTTATTAGTAACCTGATGCTGGTTGAACTTATTAGTAACCTGATGCTGGTTGAACTTATAAGTAACCTGATGCTGGTTGAACTTATAAGTAACCTGATGCTGGTTGAACTTATTAGTAACCTGATGCGGTTGAACTATTAGTAACCTGATGCTGGTTGAACTTATTAGTAACCTGATGCTGGTTGAACTTATTAGTAACCTGATGCTGGTTGAACTTTATAAGTAACCTGATGCTGGTTGAACTTATTAGTAACCTGATCTGGTTGAACTTATTAGTAACCTGATGCTGGTTGAACTTATTAGTAACTTGATGCTGGTTGAACTTATTAGTAACCTGATGCTGGTTGAACTTATTAGTAACTTGATGCTGGTTGAACTCATTAGTAACCTGATGCTGGTTGAACTTATTAGTAACCTGATGCTGGTTGAACTTATTAGTAACCTGATGCTGGTTGAACTTATTAGTAGCCTGATACTGGTTGAACTTATTAGTAGCCTGTTGCTGGTTGAACTTATTAGTAACCTGATGCTGCTTGAACTTATTAGTAACATGATGCTGGTTGAACTTATTAGTAGCCTGATGCTGGTTGAACTTATTAGTAACCTGATGCTGGTTGAACTTATTAGTAACCTGATGCTGGTTGAACTTATTAGTAACCTGATGCTGGTTGAACTTATAAGTAACCTGATGCTGGTTGAACTTATTAGTAACCTGATGCTGGTTGAACTTATTGGTAACCTGATGCTGGTTGAACTTATTAGTAACCTGATGCTGGTTGAACTTATTAGTAACCTGATGCTGGTTGAACTTATTGGTAACCTGATGCTGGTTGAACTTATAAGTAACCTGATGCTGGTTGAACTTATTAGTAACCTGATGCTGGTTGAACTTATTAGTAAAACCTGATGCTGGTTGAAACTTATTAGTAACCTGATGCTAGTTGAACTTATTAGTAGCCTGATGCTGGTTGAACTTATTAGTAACCTGATGCTGGTTGAACTTATAAGTAACCTGATGCTGGTTGAACTTATTGGTAACCTGATGCTGGTTGAACTTATTAGTAACCTGATGCTGGTTGAACTTATTAGTAACCTGATGCTGTTGAACTTCTAAGTAACCTGATGCATGGTTGAACTTATTAGTAACCTGATGCTGGTTGAACTTATTAGTAGCCTGATGCTGGTTGAACTTATTAGTAACCTGATGCTGGTTGAACTTATTAGTAACCTGATGCTGGTTGAACTTATAAGTAACCTGATGCTGGTTGAACTTATTAGTAACCTGATGCTGGTTGAACTTATTTAGTAACCTGATGCTGGTTGAACTTATTAGTAACCTGATGCTAGTTGAACTTATTAGTAGCCTGATGCTGGTTGAACTTATTAGTAACCTGATGCTGGTTGAACTTATTAGTAACCTGATGCTGGTTGAACTTATTAGTAACCTGATGCTGGTTGAACTTATAAGTAACCTGATGCTGGTTGAACTTATTAGTAACCTGATGCTGGTTGAACTTATTAGTAACCTGATGCTGGTTGAACTTATTAGTAACCTGATGCTGGTTGAACTTATTAGTAACCTGATGCTGGTTGAACTTATTAGTAACCTGATGCTGGTTGAACTTATTAGTAACCTGATGCTAGTTGAACTTATTAGTAGCCTGATGCTGGTTGAACTTATTAGTAACCTGATGCTGGTTGAACTTATTAGTAGCCTGATGCTGGTTGAACTTATTAGTAACCTGATGCTGGTTGAACTTATTAGTAACCTGATGCTGGTTGAACTTATTAGTAGCCTGATGCTGGTTGACCTTATTAGTAACCTGATGCTGGTTGAACTTATAGTACCTGATGCTGGTTGAACTTATAAGTAACCTGATGCTGGTTGAACTTATTAGTAACCTGATGCTGGTTGAACTTATTAGTAACCTGATGCTGGTTGAACTTATTAGTAACCTGATGCTAGTTGAACTTATTAGTAGCCTGATGCTGGTTTGAACTTATTAGTAACCTGATGCTGGTTGAACTTATTAGTAACCTGATGCTGGTTGAACTATATAGTAACCTGATGCTGGTTGAACTTATTAGTAACCTGATGCTGGTTGAACTTATTAGTAACCTGATACTGGTTGAACTTATTAGTAACCTGATGCTGGTTGAACTTATAAGTAACCTGATGCTGGTTGAACTTATTAGTAACCTGATGCTGGTTGAACTTATTAGTAACCTGATGCTGGTTGAACTTATTAGTAGCCTGATGCTGGTTGAACTTATTAGTAACCTGATGCTGGTTGAACTTATTAGTAACCTGATGCTGGTTGAACTTATTAGTAACCTGATGCTGGTTGAACTTATTAGTAACCTGATCTGGTTGAACTTATTAGTAACCTGATGCTGGTTGAACTTATTAGTAACCTGATGCTGGTTGAACTTATTAGTAACCTGATGCTGGTTGAACTTATTAGTAACCTGATGCTGGTTGAACTTATAAGTAACCTGATGCTGGTTGAACTTATAAGTAACCTGATGCTGGTTGAACTTATTAGTAACCTGATGCTGGTTGAACTTATATAGTAACCTGATGCTGGTTGAACTTATTATAACCTGATGCTGGTTGAACTTATTAGTAACCTGATGCTGGTTGAACTTATAAGTAACCTGATGCTGGTTGAACTTATTAGTAACCTGATGCTGGTTGAACTTATTAGTAACCTGATGCTGGTTGAACTTATTAGTAACTGATGCTGGTTGAACTTATTAGTAACCTGATGCTGGTTGAACTTATTATAACTATGATGCTGGTTGAACTCATTAGTAACCTGATCTGGTTGAACTTATTAGTAACTGATGCTGATTGAACTTATTAGTAACCTGATGCTGGTTGAACTTATTAGTAGCCTGATACTGGTTGAACTTATAGTAGCCTGTGCTGGTGAACTTATTAGTAACCTGATGCTGGCTTGAACTTATTAGTACCATGATGCTGGTTGAACTTATTAGTAGCCTGATGCTGGTGAACTTATTAGTAACCTGATGCTGTTGAACTTATTAGTAACCTGATGCTGGTTGAACTTATTAGTAACTGATGCTGGTTGAACTTATTAGTAACCTGATGCAGGTTGAACTTATTAGTAACCTGATGCTGGTTGAACTTATTAGTAACCTGATGCTGGTTGAACTTATTAGTAACCTGATGCTGGTTGAACTTATTAGTAACCTGATGCTGGTTGAACTTATTAGTAACCTGATGCTGGTTGAACTTATTAGTAACCTGATGCTGGTTGAACTTATTAGTAACCTGATGCTGGTTGAACTTATTAGTAACCTGATGCTGGTTGAACTTATTAGTAACCTGATGCTGGTTGAACTTATTAGTAACCTGATGCTGGTTGAACTTATTAGTAACCTGATGCTGGTTGAACTTATTAGTAACCTGATGCTGGTTGAACTTATAGTAACCTGATGCTGGTGAACTTATAAGTAACCTGATGCTGGTTTGAACTTATTAGTAACCTGATGCCGGTTGAACTATTAGTAACCTGATGCTGGTTGAACTTATTAGTAACCTGATGCTGGTTTGAACTTATTAGTAACCTGATGCTGGTTGAACTTATAAGTAACCTGATGCTGGTTGAACTTATTAGTAACCTGATGCTGGTTGAACTTATTAGTAACCTGATGCTGGTTGAACTTATTAGTAACTTGATGCTGGTTGAACTTATTAGTAACCTGATGCTGGTTGAACTTATTAGTAACTTGATGCTGGTTGAACTCATTAGTAACCTGATGCTGGTTGAACTTATTAGTAACCTGATGCTGGTTGAACTTATTAGTAACCTGATGCTGGTTGAACTTATTAGTAGCCTGATACTGGTTGAACTTATTAGTAGCCTGTTGCTGGTTGAACTTATTAGTAACCTGATGCTGCTTGAACTTATTAGTAACATGATGCTGGTTGAACTTATTAGTAGCCTGATGCTGGTTGAACTTATTAGTAACCTGATGCTGGTTGAACTTATTAGTAACCTGATGCTGGTTGAACTTATTAGTAACCTGATGCTGGTTGAACTTATAGTAACCTGATGCTGGTTGAACTATTAGTAACCGATGCTGGTTGAACTTATTGTAACCTGATGCTGGTTGAACTTATTAGTAATACCTGATGCTGGTTGAACTTATTAGTAACCTGATGCTGGTTGAACTTATTGGTAACCTGATCTGGTTGACTTATTAAGTAACCTGATGCTGGTTGAACTTATTAGTAACCTGAATGCTGGTTGAACTTATTGTAACCTGATGCTGGTTGAACTTATTAGTAACCTGATGCTAGTTGAACTTATTAGTAACCTGATGCTGGTTGAACTTATTAGTAACCTGA